TTCCTACCTTCCGTGAGATCCAGAATGCAGTGAGATGCCAGCTGCAGGGAATCCCTGACTGTGCTAACCCGCAGGTCCTTCTTTGCTTTCTGTTCTGAAACCCATGCACTTCCTTGCCTTTGCTTGCCTTGCTCTTGTCTCCAGATGCCAAACAACTAACTCAAGGCATTAGGGCTCTTGGATGGAAGTTCTTAGGATCAAGGCTCTTTCACATTCATGTTTCTCAGATTTCGCAGGGTAAAAATGACTTCAGCCTCAACAATCAGGGGCCGGGGGGTGGGGGTGGTCAAGAATATACTCAAGGTGCTGCTGATGTGGTTAACCCATATTTTGAGTAGCAAGGCTTTGTACTGATTTTCAAACATCAAAGACAACTCAGGTCTGGTAGTGAATATAGTGCTTTATATAAATATTTGTGCAAAATAAATGTAAAAAATATTTAAGTAAACAGCATCTAGAAGGATTTTTTTTCTTGTAGCATTTTCTTTTTTGGGTGTGCTTTTAACATACTGTGTGTTTTTTCAAAACTTTTAAAGTCTTTCCTTCAAAGGACAGAGCATAAATGAGACATAAACTTAGACCAGCAAATTAAAATAATAAAACCCAAAGGATAGAACACTTTGGTGTTTCCAGCATTCTGGAACAGTCTCCTAGAAGGTTCCAGCAGGAGGAGGAACTGGGATGCATGCATGGGGGCTGAAATGAGGACGAGCTTTCTGGATCCAGCCTTCCTGTGTTTGCTGAGGATGAGTTTATTTCCTGCACCTCACTGAGAAGCAGCTAGGAAAACTATTTAATGGGTGGGTGTGTCCTAATTTGCTACTGTATCATAGAAGAGATAGCACCATTGTCTCCTTCAAGGTCAACTGGTAGTTTTGATATTCTTATAAGCCCAATGCAAGTTTTCTACCCAAGTCTATAAATAGATAAATGTGTTTGCTCTTAATGCCACTGACCTTGAGACACAGCAAGTGTAAGCAGTAAGGATAAAAGGTGACTAGAACCCATCACTTCTAAACTACATATTGCTTCTTGACCTTTTTGTTTCTTTAGAGAATGTAAGACCAAAAGTCTTGGAGTAGGAAAATAAACCTTATTCAAAACTGCATAACTGCGTATCACCAGCAGCTTGGAGAATGTCTGGCATATTAGTGATACATAATTTAGTAAAGCTTGTGGTTTGTTCTCTTTTGCAAAAGTTAAGGAACAGGGGAACATTGTATAGCAGAAGACAACAACTCAGTATATGAAAAGAAAGTTTTCTCTCTGGACATCCTGACTTGTCATCTTGGCATGTGACACCCTGAAGTTGCTGCTGCCAAGGGACCACGTAGTTCCTAACCTAAAGCAGTTGGAGAGGTTAGAGCCACTGAGGAAGGGATTGCAATGAAAGCACAGTCTCTTCTCACAGCACAGCTTGCTCTGCTCCCTCCACACCTGCTGAGGTCCAAGGTAGAAGCTCATTGGCTTACTTTTTTTCTTAGCATTGCCCACTAGTCAACTGGTTTCTTTTTTTTCCTATTAAAATTTTATTTTTTTAAATATTAATTACAGTTTATTTACTTTGTATCCCAGCTGTAGCCCCCTACCTCATTCCCTCCCAACCCCACCCTTCCTCTTTCATTTCCTCCCTGCTCCTCTCTAAGTCCACTGATAAGGGAGGTCCTCCTCCCCTTCCATCTGACCATAGCTTATCAGGTCTCATCAGGACTGGCTGCAATATCCTCCTCTGTGGCCTAGCAAGGCTGCTCCTCCCTTGGATGGAGGGGAGGGAGGTCAAAGAACCAGCCACTGAGTTCATGTCAAAGACAGTCCCTGTCCCCCTTACTAGGGTACCTACTTGGATACTGAGCTGCCATGGGCTACATCTGAACAGGGGTTCTAGGTTATATCCATACATGGTCCTTGGTTGGAGAATCAGTCTCAGAAAAGACTCCTGTGCCCAGATATATTTGGTCCTTGTGGAGCTCCTATCCTCTCCAGGTCTTACTAACTCCCCTTTGTTTCCCCTACACTCTGCCCAAGGTTACGAGTCTCAACATTTGCTTTGATATACTACTAGGTTACGAGTCTCAACATTTGCTTTGATATACTACTAGGTAGAGTCTTTCAGAGGTCCTCAATGGTAGGCTTCTGTCCTGTTTCTTGTTTTCTCTTACTTCCAATGTCCATCCCGTTTGCCTATCTAAGTGAGGATTGATCATCTTACCCTGGGTCCTCCTTCTTGTTTAGCTTCTTTAGGTGTACACATTTTGGTATGTTTATCCTATCTTTTAGGTCTAGTATCCACTTATAAGTGAGTATATACCATGTGTGTCTTTTTTGTCCCTCAACTGAGGTATGGATACAGAAATTGTGGTACATTTACACAATGGAATACTACTCAGCAATTAAAAACAAGGAAACCATGAAATTTGCAGGCAAATGGTGGGATCTAGAAAAGGTAATCCTGAGTGAGGTATCCCAGAAACTGGTTTCTTATTGCACTTCATTCTAAAAGTATCAGGCTTGCCAAGGGGCAGAGAAAAAGGACAATAGGGAGCTTTGGGTTGCAGCAGGCTCTGTGTGAGCTCCCTCATACAATTCTGAAGAGACTGGAGCAAGCTCAGGCTGCCTTGTGAACCCCACAGTAGGACCAGACCAACGTGGTGCTGCTCCATTTTGCACGTCAGAACATAGCCTTTAGGTAGAAATCAAAATGTAAAACTTAATAGGTGCTCAGAGAAGAAGAGGGCCTTGGGTGAGCAAGGAAATGAAAGCCTGTGATAAGAAGAGAATTTGAAGGTGATGGACAGAGAAGGAGACCCATTCTAGATGCTTTCAGACACTGTGTGCGTCTGCCTGTGAGAACAAGTCTGCTGAAGAAAGAGGCAATGGCAAACTCAGGTTCAGGAAACTGGTGGCTGGGAGATGTGTAGCAACTTCCTTCCACGGTCCCACAGTTCCACTCTGCTCTTTACTGCTCAGCTGCCCAGACTGACACTTCATTGCCCAGCCACAGCTCAACGGATGCCTGTGCTGCTGACAGAAAGACCTCTCACTGCCTTCATGCTTCAGATACCTCCTTAACACCATTTATCTCATCTGCTGGCATTATCCGAGTAACTGCCTGTCTCTGCCTCACCAGCACCAGCACCCTGAGACTGGGGGATGCCTGCAATTGGCAGCTACCTCTGGTACCTAGCTTTCTATTATCTGAACTAAATGGAAATGGTACAAATTAGCATGAGGGATGTGTACCACAGCAGAGGATTGAACAGGGATAGCTGAGTGAATCTCACCAAAGGGAAAGAATAACCACCCTACGGAGTTCTGCTGTCTGATATTTCACCAGTCTGAGCAGTTCTTCTTGCTGGCCTATGAGGTACAGCTACTGTTGATCTATCTGACTTTGGCTGTAGTGGTGGCTCAGACTGGTGAAATAACTTGCCTAAACTCAGGCCTTGCCTAGAGTGAAAGGTATCACCTGGATTGGGACCCCAGGCAATGTGACTCCTCAAGGGTTACTTCCCCAGTTAACCACTTAATGATGCACACAGAGATTAAGTGAAAGACCTGTCACTGGGTGAAAGGTCCAAAATGCAGAGCCATGGCCTAGAATGCTCTTATTCCTGTAGATTTAGGAAGTGTTGCCTGAACGATAGAGCCGAATGCTAGCTACATTCATGGATTGTCTCTGAGAAAGAGACACAGTTGTGTGGAAAACCGTCTCCTGGCAGAAGAAACAGTGAAACTAAGGGCCGAGAGTAAGAAAAGGGCTGTTTTTTTTTTCTTTGCTGTCTTCTTTTTACCGTATATATGTATTATCCTTTTTAAACCACAAAGATCAATTAAAAACACAAGCATATGCAAATGTCAATTTGAATCTCCTTGGGACTTTCCCAGCTCCTCAGACATATCAACTTGAAACCGTGTTTGACTTGACAGACCCATGCTCACTATGAAACACCAGGGTTCTCTGTGCTCAGCTCCATTTTTCTCATGACCGTGGACTGTAGGACAGCTTGATTTCCCCATGAAATTTTCCTATGCTTGGAAAAGAGTGAGAGAGAACAAAAGAAAAAGAAATTGCCCAATGCCCTTACGGCTGTTTTATTTTCATCTTTTTTTTTTCTCTTTCCATTGTCGTGTTTGTGTGTATGTGTGCATGCTTGCATGCGTGAGGACATGTGTTTGTGTCTGAGGGGGGTGCTTGTGAGTGTGGAGGTCAGAGTTGATGCTGGACACCATTCTTCATAGCTCTTCCACCTGGTTCATTGAGGTGGTGTCTCTCAATCAAACCCAGAGATTGTGGGCATGGCTAGTCTTGCTAGCCAGCTTGCTCCGGAGATTTTTTTTCTCTCTCTCTCTCTTCCTCCCTCCTTTCCCAGCCTATAATTACAGGCAAACTCTGTTCCTGATGCTTGTGGGGCAAGCGCTTTACCCACTGAGCCCTCTCCCCAGGCCTCCATTATTTTAGATAGGGCTCTTGAAGCAACACTATTTGTTTGCTGGGTTGCCTTACAAACTGGGTAGTTGGAGCAATCCACCATTTCACAGCCTTGAGGGCTAGAAGTCCAAAACTGAGACATCCCTGAGGTTGACTGCTTCAGAAGGCTCTGAGGAAGAGCCTGTTTTAGGTGCCTCCGGCTCTCTGGCTACCATCCTGGTCACACAGCATTCTCCTGTATGGAAATATCTCCTCCAGCTCTCCCTGTTTGCGGTAACCATACTGGCTTGCACCCACCTGACTGACCTTGTTTGCACTCCTTTCCAAAGAAGGTCGCATTCTTGGGGCTGTGTGGAATGATTTCTGAACACAATCAGCCTCTGTCGTACTGCTTTGTGCCACTCCCCTGCCTCACACACGTCTGGGAAATCCCTAGTCCTTTTGGTGGGACCGAGATCTTGGTCTCTGGCATCCCTGAGCTGGAGAATATTCGACTTAATCTTTGAGAGAAAACCCCAAGAAGGGTCGCCCATGCTCATCCTGAAGGAAATCGCTGCTCTGCTCTTTCTAGGTGGTATCACGGCAGCCTCACGCGCCACGCTGCAGAGGCGCTTCTGCTCTCCAATGGACGTGACGGGAGCTACCTGCTGAGGGACAGCAATGAGCACACTGGGCTCTACTCTCTCTCCGTGAGGTAGGTGCTGAAGAACTTGGTAGACTTTGGCCACTAGTTCACTTGACAGCACTGATGCTGCCAGATAATAAAATCTCCCTGATTCCTTTCACCAGATTAAAGGATTTCAAACTCTGAATGGTAAGACCATAAAGAAATTTTCCCAGGACTGGAGAGATGGCTCAGCGGTTGAGAGCACTAGGCTCTTGCCAAGGACCCGAGTTCGGTTCCCAGCATTTATGCTTGGAAGCTCACAATGGCCTGTAACTCAAGCTTCAGGGAGATTTAGCACCTTGAGCTACGTGGGCGCTTGCACTCACAAGAACACACACACTTTAAAAAAAAAAATCTTCCTTGTCCCATTCACTGCAGGGAAACTATGTCAAAACCAAAGAAGACTTTGGGCATTATTGAATTCCATCTGTCACTGCACACAGGAAGGCCCTGAAACCCAAAGAGGTGGGCTGTCTGGCTTGACTCAGTCAACGACGAAAACAGCATTGTCATCTGAATCCCTGGTCTGGGCCCCTTTCTGTTATTCCTCTCTTGCCTGGGAAAGGCAGAATGATTTGTGACTGTGCAGGTTTCATGGTCAAAGACTCTAGTGGACAATGTGCAACTTAAAATTACTTTTCCATGGATTCCATTTCTCCGGAATGGTGAGCTGATCTAGTCGCCCTGAGTTGCACCTGGCTATTGAGGACACCCAGTCCATTTAAGGTTTTTCCTCCCACCTCCCTACCCCTACCCCCACCGACTCAGCTTGCAGTCTTCAGCCCCTGACATGCCGCCTTCTAGTGGCAAGCAGCAAGCCTTCTCCAGTTCTTGTGGCTTTGGCTGAGCATGAATGCAAAGGCTCTACTAAAAATGGCCCTCAGTCTGTCAATCCAGGAACCCTTGGAGGAAGGGTTCTTTGCAGGGCAAGTCCCTCAAGCCAGTCTGGCTCCCCCCTCCTCTCTTTTCTGTAAGTTCCTGGCTTCCTTGTACTCCCTGGATGGCAGGAGCTATATGTCTGCTGTTGCTTGTAGCTCCTTTTCTTTCAGGTCAGCCACTTTGGTTTATTTGGGAGGAAGAATGGAAGAAGTCAAGTGTAGTAGCAATGTGTATGTATATTTTCAATCCCGTTGCTGTGAAAACACGCTGCTTACTACTTGATGAGTTCCAGGCCAGAGGTGGATGGTGTCTGAGGAACAATAACCAAGGCTGGCCTCTGGCCTCCCTATGCACACACACAGATACTTGCACAGACAAGTGTGCCTATCCACATGAACATTCACTCCTGCACACACACACACACAAATAAACACAAAAAGGTATTTCTCTAAATAACTGTTGACAGGCTTCTATGGGCTCGAAAGCAAAGAACAAGCGCATTGCTTATTCGCTCTTTAGACTTGGAACCTTCCCTGTTCATTTTCTACGCTATGTAACAAGGTACCCCAAAATGTAGTAGCTTAAAACAACACAAATTGCCCATGCCACTGTTCTTGTGTGTATTAAAGTCCAGACCTAGCATGAGTGGATTCTCTATTCAAATCCTACTAGGCTGAAATAAAGATGTGTTCAGCAGCAGCTGGGGCTCTTATCTGGAACTCAGTACCTCACCATCACTTCCTCCTTGCCTCTTTATGTGTTTTTTTCATTTCCTTGCTGTGGTAGCACTAAGGGTCCCTGTTCTCCTAGCTGTCCTTCAAAGAGCAGTGTCAACTGACAGATATCACTGTATTTCATGCTTTGTGGCCTGCATGGGCAAGACACACAGAGTATATGTTTGCTGCCTTCCTGCCAGCCAGAGCACATCTCTGTAATGTCTTCTTCTATGGACAATAAAGAATTCTGTTTCACGGAGCTCATTTGAAGAGATCAGAGACTCTTCCTATTTTAAGATGAACTAATTTAGCCACTTAACAATCCAAAATTTCTTCTCAACTCCATCTTGACTAGTTTTTCGCTGGATATACCCTCTATGGGTTTGTGGTTGGGGCATCCATGAATGCTGCTGGCCATACCTTCCATTCTCTAGCAGTGAGTCTATATGCCTATTTGAAGGGGGGAAGAGAGAGATGGGTAGAAAGTGAGGGACAAATTAGGCAGCCAAAGGGAAGAAAAAGTATATCTATTAATATTTTGGTGTTACCCTGATAAATTTTATTTATAATTTTTTTTTCTAAATAACAGGGCTAGGGGCTAAGGTACTCAGTCAGTAATAGCTAAGTCTATGCAAGAAAACATAACTGAGTTTGGCTCCCAGCAGTCATGTAAAAAACTGGGCATGTTGGTATGTGCACCTAATTCTATCACCAGAGAGGGGGACACGCTGGCCAGCCAGCCTTGCTCAATCGATGAACCCCCAGTTCAGTGAGGGACCTTGCCTCAAAAAATCCAGGCAGAAAACTCATGAGAAATGACACCTGAGGTTAGTCCCTGGCTTCCACAAACATGTGCACGCATGCGGTTGCACACGCATGCACAAGTACAGGTGAGAATACGTGTACATAGACACAAAGGAAAAAATTAAAAATAAGGATGGGAAACTATGAATCAAAGATGGAACCTGGTTTTCTTGGGGGAAAGATTCTTGCTTTCTCTTATTGACAGAGATGGTGAGAGTCTATCAGGTGAACGTCATGCTAGAATGCTTTATGGCATGGTTCCTCAAACATCTCAAGTAGACACGTAGAATTATTGGATCACAGAGGGTAATCAACATTTTATCTATATGTGACTCATCTGATCATAAGCTGCTTGTGAATAGATTGCATGTATTTCATCTTCATAAAAATTAAAATATAAGTCATCATTTTTGTCATCATTACAAATACTTGGTAACACTTAGGGGAAACAAAACAAAACAAAAATTTACAGCAAAGGTGACAGTACCCATAGGCCAGTTGTTTAGAGGTATGATTATTTTTATTCATATACTTGTTCATTCCCTTAATAATAGATATTTGAAAGCATGCATTCCATACCAGGCATCTTAGTTCAGAGACCTGTTGGTAAGAAGGACAGCCTCATTGGGCTAGTAAGACCCAAATCTTGCTACAAAGTGGAGTGTAGTGATAGCATAAAGAAGGCAAGAAAAGCGAGCAAGAAATAAAAGGGCACTCAATGTAAGGCAGAATTATCATGTGATACTGGCCAAGGAGGTGGCATTTACTGGAAAACTCAATGGGAAGCAAGTTTGTTAAGGGGAAGATGAAAAAGACTAATGGAGTTAAGGAGCAGAGGTAGAAATTACTCCTCCTAGAAGAACAGCAGGTTCAGACTGATAGGGGTCCTGAACCTAGCTCCACAGACAGCAACATCCACTGAGAAGCTGTTAGAACCTGAGCTCCAAGGGTCTGCCTTCCTTCCACCTGTCTGCAGGGTGAGATCCAGCAACCTGGGTGTCAACAAACCTTCCACTTGACTCTGAAACATTCTGGAGTTAGGGTATGAATGACGTAGTGGGGGAGGTGAGGCCAGGATGATGAGATAGAGACAAATAAAGTGAGCGGGAGAGAGAGGCTTTATGCCATCCTTCCCATTTCAAAAAACAAAGTGGAAAATGACAGCCTTGGAAATGTGACACTGTATACAGTAGGCAATCACGCAGGCAAGGGAGGAGAAGATTAGGGCCCAATGCAAACTTCCAGCTGACTCCCAGAAAAGGGAAGAGGGCCAAGGACAAACATGTCATTTCTGTCACCTCTGTCTTCCTGAATTCACACCCTTTAAGGAAGTTAATGTTTCAGAACTCTTGCAGTCAGTCCAAGAGAAGGTGGGGCAACCGCCCCTTGTCTTCCGGGAGAGAAAAGCTGAGAGGCTTCTCTGCTAGAAGAAATGAGTGGCAGCCCTTACAACTCTCACCTAGCCTCAGCCTGGTCCCACGCCCGCCCAGGGCTTGGTGGCTTGTGTTCTGCGTCCTCAAAGGCTGATGGTGATGCGAACACATTGCAATATTTGCCTTCAATAAAATCATCACTTGTTAAATAACATTAAACACTTTTTTTTCTTCCAGAGCCAAAGACTCAGTGAAACACTTTCATGTTGAATATACCGGGTACTCATTTAAATTTGGTTTTAATGAATATTCATCTTTAAAGGATTTTGTCAAGCATTTTGCAAATCAGCCTTTGATTGGAAGCGAGACAGGTAAGCTGTCTTAGTCCAGTTTTTGTTGTTATAAACAAATACCTGGTTTATTGAAGGTTATTAATTCATATTTCTGCATGAGAATTTGCTTGGAATCTGGTCACTTCTGGAACTAAGAACATTGTATAATGAGAGACAGGGAATAAATACATCAAAGACCAAGCCCTCACCACAGCCCAAGCCCACCTGGAACCTGTGATCCCCCTCCCTCAGTCTCACCAGTGATGAATGATGGGACTCTAGGAGCTCACACAGGCAGGTAGAGCTCTGTGAGTTTGAGGCCAGTCTGGTCCACATAGTTAGTTCCACAGCCAGTCAAATCTACATAGTGACACCCTATCTAAAAGAAAAAAGAAGAAGAAGAAAAAAAGACAGTTTCTTTCGAATGTTCTATTTTATAATACATGCAGGAAAGAAGAGAAGACACAAAGCAAGAAGCACTTTTCTCTTCCTCATCATTTCAGGCGTAGACACCAACAGCAAACTGCCAGCCAGCGTTCCATTAGTGTGACAAATATTAATGCCTGAGCTAAGTGAACGCATAAGTAGGGAAGTGTATTCTGCCTGGTGGCTTTAGAGGTTTCAGTTTATGGTGCTGTTGTCATCAGGATGCAAATGTGCAGCAGCGAGAGCCACTCAGCTCAGAACTAGGAAGCAAAGAAGGCAGGAGAGGGATGGGGACTTAGCCCCACTTTAATATCCCCTTCAGCGGCACACCGCCCACAACGTAACTTTTTTCACATTGGCCTTCATATAAGGCCAAGCAAGGTTCAACAGCTTTAACACACGGGCCTTTGAAGGGCAGTCCATCCACACTGACACACCCAGTATGCTGGCACTCAAGATATCTAACTTGTTTGTCTATAATCTACAAAGAGAGTAAGGAAAAGGTCACCTCTAAACTTATGGTTTAGAATTCCAGCTTTTTTTGCTCTGAATGATGGAGAGTCTCAGTTTATCAACAGTGGGAAAATTGCAAGAAGCCTGTAGCACGAGAAACTTGGTGCCGTGGCCAACTGCCGTGAATCTGTACATATTAGTTTTCTTAGTAAGCTTTGGAATGGTCTTTCTGCTCATCGGCGTGGTGGCTTCTGCTGCCATCACTGGTTTCTGCTTTTGCCATTCATGTCACTGAGACAGACCCCAGTATGAATCAGTGTCTGGCACAGATGAAAGACGCTCGGAAACCACAGAACAGTTGCTTCTCTATACTGAAAATGACAGGTTTGTGGTAGAATATTCTGAACTTGAACCTAAAGCTGTAAACCTGTCTTTTCCTGATGGAAATCCTCCCAATCAGCCCTGACGATTACCTTGCTGTGTAACCAGCCCTTGCTGTCACAAACAAATGCACATGTGAATATTCATTTCCGCTGCTACCTTGACCTGAGCAAGCAGCTCGGTTCCTCTAATCCCTGCCCTGCAGCTTTATTTCCTGTTTGCGTTCAACTCCACACTTGATTTCATTCAGCTCTTCTTAGTCTCTGGAAATGGAGAGAAGTGTACTGAAGCTGGGGCTTTGTTTTGACTGCCTCTTCTCTTGCCCCACCCCTCATCCGTCATCAGCGCTTGTGTGTGAGAGAATGGACAAATGAAGTAATGGCTGTTTTACTTCCTGGAATCCTGTAGCCATCAAAACCATTATCGTTATCTGTTCACCTTCTCTTCTCCCCAAGCAAAGGCAGCTCTTTCATCTAAACTTCTTTCCCAGACACTATTTAAATCTCTTATATGGTTCTCTGTGCACATGACTGGACCTTCTCAAAATCAGGGAAAGGTGCACCTCCTGCCTTCTGGCAGATTTCAAGGCAGGCTAAGACCAAAGAGAATGCAGTGTGTTTTGACTGACACTTTGCCACACAGGTCTCAGCAGACAAGAGCGTCACCTGCAAACTGCAACAGGAAGGTAACCTTCACACCGCATTTAGAACAATGCACAGCCTCTTGTATCTTGTATCCTGAGCAAGAAACCCCATAGCCAAGTGTAGCTATACTTGTAATTTCCCTGGGCTATACGGTCAGGTAGAGGGTAGCCTGGACTGCATAGCAAGACCCTGGCTTTAAAAAAAAGAGAAAATAAAAAGAAAAAGGCTTGTGATTAATACGTTAGGATTATGGTTTACAGGGTAGCTTAAAGTTGCAATGTTCCGTGCATTATCAGTTATCACTGTGGCTCCCGCTTTACTTCTAGGAAACTAAGATTGCTCTCCTGTCCACCGGCTGTCCTCTGCTCTCTCCGTTATCTGATAAACAATTTGCTGTTTTTGGAGCCCTGATTCAGCTGGTAAACATGCACACGGCTTGCTGACTTCAAGCCCTTTCGTTAGAATTAACACTAATTCCACTTGCTTATCTGTCCCCACCAGATGACGGCAAAGCCGCCAAAGCTTGTTCAAGGGACAAAAGTCATGACACTTGAGTGTTCCAATCTGCCCACCGTGGGAGTAGTAGGCTTCCGGAAAACAGGACAGTGTGGTAAAGTCACGATGACTATTTAAGCCCCGAGTCACCACTGTGGCCATGAGGAGTGGTGAGTGGAAAGCAAGATGCCACCTTCTAAAAAATAGCCCATTTCTCCTTGTTCCCTTGGGCATTGGCTCCTGGTGGGCACGAATGGTGGTGCATCCCAATGACCCCAAGTTCAAAGTCTGCCTGGGCTACATAACAAGGTCCATCTTCCAAATGAAGTAAGAGTTCCTGTTGTAGCCAGGACACCCTCCAACCCCGGGCTGAATTTTTTGTGGTTTGAAGCCAAGTGACGGAAAACTACTTGTTCACACATTGAACAAGGCTCTGCCAGAATTTTCTTCTCTAGATCTCCCAAAATTAGAACAAAGGTCCAGTATTTTGTGCTACTCCTATTATTTAGTTCCGGGCCCAGCTTCAGCCTGCATTGCCTAAGAGCATGCATTTATAGAGACCTTTGGCTCGGCTTGGTGGCACAGGTCTGTAATTCTACCTAATCAGGAGGCAGAAGGAGGAGGATCACAAATTCAAGGCCAGACTAGGAAACTTAGCAAGATACTGTCTCAAACTTAAAAAAATAATACTAATGTTAAAAGAGGGCCTGGGTATATGGTTCAGAGATGCAGTGTTTGCTCAGCATGCTCTGTTCCCTAACGAAGCCATATAGCAATCATCCACTGCTTGTTCCTACCTCTGAGGGCAGCAGGATGAGCCATATAAAATGACACAGACCTCGAACTTGTCCTCTACAGTGACTGAGACCAGATTCAGCAATGTGACACTCAGAAAACTTGGTTGCAGAAACGTTTGTCTTGAAGATAGGTGAAAAGTGTTGATCCAAAGGCACACGTTTTAACTGTCTCCTTTATTCCTATTCTCTCTTCCTTAAACACCCAGAATCTGTGATATATATATATATATATATATATATATATATATATATATATATATATATATATATATTTTTTTTTTTTTTTTAATCTGAAGAACACAGTTTCTGAAGTCACCCCTAGCCTCCTGGCCACCGTGTGGGCTCTAGAATGCCAGCTTCCCCCGATCTCTGTTAAAATGTATGCTCATTCAAAGTTCTTTCTCTCAACACCCACCACACTCTGAAGATGTTTCTAATCCTCAAAACCTTATCATTTCCTAAGCTGTACAATGGACTTACTTGCTTTTCTTCCAGCACATTTGATAATTGTGTAACTTTGATAATTCACTTACTTTAAAGTTACTCTCCTGCGTATTAGCATAAACTCCATGAGGCGAGGATTCTTATAAGTTTTGTTTCCTGATGTATTCCAGAACTTGAAAGAATAATGCTGATCACTTTCTTAGCATGCCAGCATGTAGGAAGGGTAGGGGGTACCCTATAGTTTGTATGGTATTGAATTAGAATTGTCAAACACTCTGACAATTCTAACCGGCAAAACTGATAAAAGCATAACTTAAGCTTATGCGTCTGTGGTCTGTATCTATCCAGTGACAAATAAATCCAGAATCCACCTTTCATTTGTTATTGATGATGTCTAAAAAGTGTATTCCTTTTAAACAGCACTCAATAGAGCTCAATATCTGAGAAACATTTTTAGTATAGTTAATATTTACTGATTCTTCCCCTAATTAGCTAAGTTGCATACCTACAGTCATGAAAACGTAGACAGCATTTATACTTATGCTTAGGTATCCAGGTATTGTTAAACAGAACAAAACAAAAACAAAAAGGTCTTTGTTCATATTTAAATAGCTTCCAGTGAAAACTGCCGGGGACAGTTTTTGTTTTGTTTTGTTTTAATAGTTCAAGGTAACTTTAGTCACCTAGCCCACATAGGAAAACATGCGCAATGCTTCAAGTGAGGTGATCTGTTTGCAACTCCCCTTGAGAATAACTGGTGCAGTATTGGAGACCCTGTGTGGTTCTTTCCCAAATGTCAAATCTCCACGACTGTCTTTTGCTTTGATGCCTGGGCCTTTGGCAAAAGTTACAGCTCCTATTATTCACTTTGTGGCACCCGCTAGCGTCCTCGGGTGGTGTTTGAAGCTAATGAAGTTAAGAGTTTAAGGACTGCTTGTGATGTTTCTGGAAGTAATTTAATGGACAACTTGGAATTTTGCCAAATCAAGCCAGCAATCACTTCTTCCATCCACGCTGGCCAGACACTAATGCTTTTCAGTCAGTCAGGGAGGTGTGTCTGCAAATGAAAAAGGTAAGGGTGTGGTGAGCCCACGCTGGGCAGTCTTTAGCAGGTTCCGGGCATTCACGCAGAGGTTTTCTCACATATCAGATTATTTAATCTTCCCAGCTGCCCACAAGAATACATGCAGTGATCTCATTTTCAGATGAGGAAATAAAAAAGAGAGAGAGGCTTTAAGTTACTTTCCCTAGGCTGTGTATTTACTAAGCCTCAGACATGGGGCTGGAGCCCAAGCTAAGCTCATAAGGAGCAGGTACTTTCCATGCTTGCTATGTGATTCAGACCTGTTGTTCGGTATCACATCATGGATCGGTCTCAACTTCCGCCTTGTGTCATGTC